CTAGAGCTGCAAGATATGCTGGACAGCATCCTAGTGCGCTTCAAAATGCCCCGTACCAACCTGCAGTGTCAGCCCATAGGTTCCTCTTATGTGTTCCTAAAGTGGCGCTTCTTTTAGAAGTGAGGGCCGATTTCTGCTCAAAGCAGCTGCATTGCGGCTTGATCGTCCTGCAGGGCATGAGAGGACAGATGAGCACGGCTGGCTTTGCATATAAAGGCGCAGCTGGTAGGTTCACAAAGTATATGGCAGAATCGAACGCCACGAACGCAGGAGAAAACCGTTACAATGCTGGCGCTGTATTCAAAAGCAAGAGGTGAAGGGTTTACTTTATTCCATCGTGGGACCTCGACCTAGAGCTGCACATGCACTCCCGCTGCCATTATGTTGAGTTGCTGTACAGATGGAGGAGCCCCCGTTGGACTTGATGCAGAATCTGACTCCGTGTCGGTAGAAGACAGTGACTCAGATAAACCAACTGTATGTGTTTCTTCTGTATCGAACAACTCACCTGCTATGAGCAAGTTAGCTTGTTACCAAGCAGCAACTGGTCCTAATAGTACTTCACGGGACACCGGAATAGAGCAAAGTGGGATCATTTCCAAGTCGAACGCGGCCCCTCTCCGCCGCGGACTTGCTGAGGGAGTGGACGCCATCCCGACTGTGTATCTAGAGGCCGTTAGGGATGGAGTTGCACGAGCAATGAAACGAGTCTCTGAAGGCAACGTGAATACAGTTCTCCGACAGCTGCTGCGTGTCTTACGCTGCAGCGCCGCTGAAGTGAGGGTTGGTCTGCTAGAGCTTAGGGCTGTGGGTCTCTAGTGGAATTTTCTTTTTCTTTCATCGTAGTGACACTTTCGACAAAGATTGAATGCGAAATTCAAGATATGGTCTTCTTTGTATCTCAGCTTCAGCGGGGATATGAGAGCAAGGAACAGGCAGAAAAGGCACTGCATGCTCACAATATATCTGTGAGGGAGATCTTATGCGACCGGCTAGCTCAGTCATGCTTAGAAGGACGCAGCTCAGATGCTCCAATGATTGCCATCAAAACAGCTCTTTGCTGCGCTTTAAGCAAGATGTGGGATATCGAGGTACGCGGAGGGCAAGGATCACATTTCTCTGTCTAGCCTTTCAACTCAATATACTGCTTCTGGCACTGTTGTGCGTGGGATTTTCCTGTGAAGTGTTGGGATCGACGAAATTATGGATTATGCACGTGCATTCAGCTGTGTCGAAACTTTTTGATGGACTTGGCTGGTTGTTTCCTGACCCACTTCTGGAAGGCATTGTTACAACAGAAGAAGAGCCAGAAGGCCTTTACGGCAGGCACCTCGTTCCAGAGAAGTCGCCATGCGCTAGTCGGAATTTGCTGTCTGTATGACTTCGGTTTTGTCTCCCCGAGAATGCTTGTCGAGCTCATATTCAAGATCACAGGATTGCAGGAAGACTCCAAGCCACCTCTCCAGCGGAATAACGGAACGCCCGACTTTCGGGTGGAACTGCTACTTCTGGTTCTACGATTGGAGGGTGGGAAACTGCACCAAGATGACCCTTCACTTTTTTCTAGCACATGGGAAAAACTCCATGGTATTGTACAGCAATATGGAGATGACTTTAGGCTGCATTTCGAGGGACAGCACTTTTCGTTGCCGGAGCAGAGTATGGCTGGAGCGGGTGAGGAAGATTGTTTGGTCCCCCACACAAGCCAGTAGTGAATTTGTTCAGTAAAATTCGGCGGCTTATGGCTCCACGGCCAAGTCATTTGCGATGTCTGTCACAAGAGTTGCAGGACTATAAGGAGAACAAACAGGATGAGGCCATGATGCATATCAAGGCATCGCAGCATGCCATGAAGTGAGGAGTCACAGTAGCGGTACAAGGTCGATAGACTCTGCGGCCCATTAATTCGTGAGATAAAACGTAATAGGCTCAGTCGAGTGGCCTCGCTTAAATTAGAACATTTCTTTGCTTTCCCAGTAGCCCCTGAAGCATGCTTATTCTGCGTAATTTAACTTATGCAGGCGCTGGCTGAGCAGCAGCTCAGTCTTTGGACCCAACTTCCTCTCTACAGAGTACCAAATAGACGGATCTTGGGGAGAGCTGGAGCAAGGGCAGCGACCAGAAATGGTCACACAATCCGCTGTTGCTGCTCACCTTCACCATCATAAGCGCACAGAAAGCTCGGACAGCTTTCCAGTTGCACGTCCAGTTGGCTTCCCAGCAATCCATATGCAAGAGAAAGCAGAGCTTTTAAGGTATGGAAAACATGGAAGGCATGCGTAGGAATTATACTGCACAGTATGCGTTATCGTTGACCCTGCAGCCGTAGTGTGTTTCACGGGCAAATGTCTTTAGTGCAGCAAGATGCCACCTGCCTCCACAGTACTGAAGCGTGCCCTTGGCTGTTTTCCTTTGAAGGTTCAATACGGAGCTTCAGCAGAGTATTTTCAAGTGTCTAATGATGGCCAACAGTCCAGATGCTGCCCTCCAGTTGCTTCAGAGAACTGGACATTTGTCGTTGAAGAAAACAACTGTGCGTGCTGTATTAGCTGGAGCATCAAGTAAAGCAGAAAATAAGAACGAGATAGTTTTTTTAAAAGGTATCAGCGAGACGGCTCGGCGTTGATGTCACGGGAGAAGCGTTCAGAGTCTATCACGCTACCGTCGCAGGGCTTCAACTATGGTGTGTTACGCAGATAACGCAAACCGTTGCCGTTGTGATGCAATGCTGCTTGCAAGAAAAACTTTACAATCCGTTCTATGGAGTAGTGCTCTCACGGCTCTGTGGCGTCTGTGGCTGCCAAGCCGCTTCAACTAATAGCACCGTTGTATGCCGGTGCTTCCTTATGCATGGAAAGGCGGCGGCTCGCTACCGCCGCACCACACAGAGGGGTGTGGCGGCACAAGCTTCTGCTGCCCACGGGTTCTCCGTAAGGCGGCTACTAAACCTGGCAAAGCTTACTGCATTCTTGGTCAGCCTTTTTTATGAGCCGAAGTTGCGATTGGTTGGATAAGTTACGCCAACCGCGGCCCCTGTCTTTCATCACAGTGCATGACACGGTTTTAACTCGCCTGATTCCGGTATCGAACAGCTTTCCCATATTCAGGACGCCGAATGTTGCTTGTGCTGTCGTGTGGCAGATTCGACTGCATGTTACGGATCTACGCATCGTCCGTTTCTTGAATTTTGGCGCAGTAGGAAAACAGGGACCTGTGGGACTCTCAGGGAGGCTAGGAATATTTCTGCGAGAGGTATCTCATTACGACTGCCCGGAGCGCTGCAGCCACGTACCACGAAACTCAGGCATATCGTGACATGGGCCTTGGATCTTTTGCATTTGGATGCATTTCAAAGTTTAAAGACAGGTGACACTTCTTTCCTTGCAAGCCAGCGTGCAACCGCTGTGTTGCGTATTTTGTGCCCGTGGCTTGTTGTTCTTTCCGCAGATTTGCATTGAACTGCTCTGTTGTCCTACAGCAGCGTCCACCCCTTTGCCAGCAGATGACTGGAAAGAACATGCTGTCTCCCGCTTTAAGTGCCTTGGATCAATGAGTGACATCTGTGAGGCACTCGCGACGCTGTTGCAGGATGTCGTCCTGCCGGACGTAGAGGCACGCAATGGCGAAGATGTAAATCCCACCAGGAATATCAGCTCCGAAAGGGTCTTGAATGCCTCAGTAGTCAAATTAGCAATACGAACTCTGCTGAAGCACCGGCGGCCGGGGACGTGAAACAAGTATGTTATATTTGTTGTACGTGAACTTCGAGACACGCGACAGAGGATTTGCCGCGCGGCATTCCAGCGTATGCAGCCCTGGCGGCGGAGGTGAATCTCATTTCGTTTGCTCAATAAGCGCCTTGAGTAGTGCCAGTTGCGGCGGAGAGGCGAACGAGCGGGTCTCAGCGACAGGCTGACATGTAGCGACAGCTATCTGAGTTGTAAACAGACCGAACGGACTGACTTTCCGCAAAGCCCTTAAATATGTGCGGTTCCATTAAAGGCTTTTAGCTAGAAAGTGTTGTAATGGGCCAATTGCTCAGTGTGCGATGGGTCCTTTAACAATAGGAGTTGAAGCAGCACTCTCACTGCACTATGTGAAGCACCTTCATGCAGCCCAAACATGGCCACCTTAGCCAAACAGTGCCTTAGTGCCTGCGGCAGCTTCAAAAGAATCACCGAAAATGTAGTATTTTTGCATCAGATTTCAACTCCCCATATTCGGTGCCGAAAGAGCACCTCAACCTGCAATGCATCTGTTGAGTAGCGCTGTTAACCGTCATGCCGCGTGCGGGAAGTGCTCCCCACATGTACACGCCGCATGCACGAATGCAACAACCGTGCATGGTAATCACATCGTCGCTCCGCGTCGGTGGTGAATGTTAGTTACTTCATGAGTTCAAACAAACTGTAGTCACGCCCGCACGAATGCGATACGTCGTACGCTACATTGACAGGCCGTCCATTTTAGGAGCTCTGCCATGTAACACGGCATTATTGTCCGCCGCAGTTGCACTCCCGTTGGATCAGGTTAAGTTCGACATACATAATTTTTGCAGACATCTTCGACACATTGCATCTTTCGCGTTCCTGTTGCCCTTGGGGCTTGTATGTTCGGGGTGTTTGTACTCGTGCCCTGTGATGATCCCACTCTGAAGGGGTGTAAGGCGCTTGCACGCGCTCGTGAACCATGCCTCATGTGGATGTCAGACAAGATGCTACGACTACACAGTGCATCGCCACAAGTAAAAGTGAGAAACTAGTTACCGTTCAGCTTGCTCGTTTTGTCTACTTGAGGCTTAAGGGCAAGAGTCTCACATGTCCCCAGAAAGTGAAAAGCTTCTGCGTGGTGGCAGGATCAGGGAGGACATCAGTTCAGTGCGCTGGATCGTGTGCCGGTTGCCATGCTGCGACGCACCAGACCCTTGGGCAATAAACTGTCTCGAAGACGAGAGTCAGCCGCAGCGTAACAGAAGCCATATAAGATCGCACGGATGATTTTTACTTCCCCTGGGCAGCCGGCGTGCTTGCTGGCGTGCTTGCGGATGCTTGTTTTCCGTTCCTGTGGCCAACAGAAGCGACCTGCGCGGCTCGCGACTGCACTGACTCGACATGGTGACCAATTAAAGCACTGACGTGCCCAACCTGCTTTGCCCAGGCCTCTGCTAGTCCACTGCCTGCTACTGAAACAGCCGTTACACCCTTGATTGCGCCAGAGGAAGCGCCGGCCGTCAACCTCGGTGGAAACAGTCCTCCACTGTCGGCCTCTGATGAGCCGCGCTTCAGCCACGACTGTAGACCACGAGACACAGAGTCGACCGCTGAACGTAGGCACCAAGCCAGCGATAAAAATGCAGCTTTCAACATTAAGACATTACGCAGTATGTGCACACACTGCGGCCAAAGTCGGTACCATCCTCTGATATCTCAGGTATCACAAGGTGATTCCCACCAAACACTGCTGCGAGGGGATTAATTAAGCACGTTAAAATATCATACCATCGTCCAGTCGGAGCCTGTGCAGCTGCTTGTGCAACTCTTTTGGAGGTAGCTGGTGTTCACTTCCGGTTTTGCTTACGACAGGCTTCTGAGCTGATTCGTCTGCTTCCCCGTGCGCCTCGTGCGGTGAATGCAACAGCAACCACTCAAATGCTGCAAGACAATCACGAGTTCACATTGCTTGTCAACCTGCTCATATTTAATAGACTCTTACGCGCTTGGAAGCGTGCCCAAGCAACTATAGGTCACTTTCCTTACGAGTATTCTCCGGTTCCAGTGTCTACCACGAAATTGGTCTGCCATTTAGTAACTGGTCCGCACCTGGAAGTGGAGAAACAGGCAGGAGTGGAAGCCGTTCATTTGGCTCGAGAAGGGGCGGCAGAGGCGCGTTTACAACGATTTCTTTGAAACCTGAGGGACCGATGCCGCCCGCTTCGCACTCAGTTGAGGGCAAAAGAGGCCAAATTAGAGACTTCGATGCAGAAAATCCCGCTCCAACGCGTTTTCTGGAAACGGTAATATAGCAAGCGCAACAACAAAGCGAAGGTTAGAGCACCAGACATTTAACGCGATTTGCCTTATTAGCAGCAAAGATGGAAGCTTACTCTAGTTCTGTAGCAAGGACTGGCTCAAGCCATTGCCTTCCTTTATCGGTCGCTTCTCTAAGAGATTCTGAGCAGCGGCGGCAGCCTGCGCCAACTTCTATTATCTTGCGAAGCGTTGCTGGTAAAGCATTCAGGCTTTCACAGCCTTTGCAACTCCGCGTAAGTGGCGAATATCCATCTAGTGCCTCGGCTAGTAATTCTGTGTCAACTAGGACTTGTAGTAGATGCCGTTGAAGCGATGCTCTCCTATAGTGACCATCCAAACGCTGCTGTTGCCGCTCCTTCGCCTCTTTGATCGCAGCGACTGCAATGGAAGCCACTTCTTCGGATGCAACCACTTTCATCGCAAACAACAACACAGGACAGTCTGATAGTTCCTTCACCCTGCACAAGCAGGTGCACATAAAGCACAAGACATAGGCCTGTGCGTTTTTCCTCGTAAGAATCCTTCCCCACCATGCCCAACTACGTGGATAAAATGCGTGTAAAAACATGCGCCGTGGACCTTTTGTGTGTCCGAAGCATCGCGCCGGCACCTGGTATCCAGAAGCCTACACCTTGAAACTCATTTACTTACTTCAAGCCCTTCAGAGATGCCACAACGTGTCTGCTAACGTCTAGCAAGAACGACATTGCACCTCCAGATACGTCGAGAACAGTTTCACCCGCTGAGATAACAGCAGCGATATGCGTAGGGGCAGGTAAGACGTAGTAAGTCCTTAACACAGTGGCCAAGCTGCACTTTCGAATGCGAATAAATTTTGCAGAAATGTATCCAAGTCGGTGTCTGGATGGTCAGCAAGCTCTAAAGAATTCACCTTCAGTAGCTTGAGCAGCTGATGTTCCACTGCTCCACTGCCACACCGCCTGTAGCTCCTTCACTGCAAGCCTTACAAACGGCCAAAATCCAACAGCGTAAGCAACAAAAGATGAAAAATACAGGTCGGGGAGAATCGATTGCGCGGCTGCCCTAGCAGTAGCAACCACTGGACAAGTTTCCAGGCCGTCCTCATGCCCATGCTCGCCCGGACAGCTGCCCTTCTCAAACACTTCAGCGGCATTATTCTGCGCCCGTGACGTAGAAAGTGTCCATTCAGAAAGAAATGCTGCTAATCGCTGCCGGCACTTGACGGCTGTCGAACCCTGAAGCATCAAAGCCGTAGTCAAAATCATTGACAATAAGGTAGGAATCATTTTGATGCAGAAGTCACTTAAGCCAATGGAAATCATGCTGCTGTGAAATGCACGCGACTCACTTCCGGCGTTTGGTCCCAAATGCAGGATACGCCTCCTAAGGCGACTTCGTTATCCTATAAATGTCGACCCACAGAAGCAAGGAACCAACGCTTCGTACAAAGGCAAAATGAAACTATGAAGAACTAGCGCTATACTAAAGTAATTGTATTTGAACTTGCATGGTCTGAAGACGCCTCAGCATCACCGAAAGCAGTAAACAGCCACTCCACCCTTCGAGCATCCATAATCATTGCGGCTGACGTGTCTTGAACTCTGATGCACAGCTCTTCCGCTCTTTCGTTAGTAGTAGTAGCGGCGGTGAGAATCGCCCTCTGCTTAAGCGGAATAATACATTCTGATAGGGACTGAAGAAAAGAGGCTGCAACAGCAGCGCGGAGAGGCACTGCAGCTTGCGCTCCCTGTGAGCTTCTGGCGTCTCCAAACAGTGCGGCAATGTCTGTCAAATGAAACCAAAGGTCTTTCTTAAAGGCTTCGTTGGAGCACTCGTCCTTCACTAAAGGGAAAATCCGGGTCCTACAAGCCTCTGAGGATGAAAAAAATTAACAGCCAATGCAACTTGTACGGAAATAGTCAGGACGAACCATGAAATGACTCAAAACAGCGCATCTCCCCTGAATTGTCACTGCCGTACCATTGTTTCCTATGTGTTGGCTGAGGAGCGGTAAAGCCCTCATACGTCTCTCACAGACAGCAATGCATGCGTTGCTGCAAGACTCCCCGAGCGCTTGCAGCAGGCACAAAGTGCATGGAGGTAAGGGCATGTCAGAATATGCCCAGTGTTGATTTCCCCCAGCATCTAATTCCGTCGAACTTCTTTGTGGAGTGTCGCTAATCACAAATAGAGAACGAATGGGAAGTCTCCAGTGGCATCTCATCGTTTTAAGCCTTTCCAACAGCTACGAACACACAAATGAATGCGCACGAACAAGCTGCATCACTAAAGATCAGTCCCCTGTTCCCTGTTACTCCGGCTACAAGGTTGTACGTAATCACTGAGCGCGGCCAGCTCACTATTAACCAGAAAACGCGTATGTCTCTAAGGCTTCGTTGAGGGTCCTCTGAAGGGAAGAGGCACAGTTGCATCTTCAGTGGAGTGCTCCACCGCTGAACAAAGGCCGCTGTTCTAGCTCTGGGACACAATGCATCATCATCGCAGCAACAGGCAAGCCCCCATTCCCTGTTGTTGCAGCTGTCACTGCGGCAATGAGCAGCAAGCAGAGCGAAGACCCTTGCCAGCGCTCGAAGTGCCCATGAGATATCAACTGAGTCAAGGGGGTGGCTCGCGCAGAGGGTCGCCTCCGCCGCACGCACCGCTGCGAAACCGCCCGCCGAAACACCTGTGGAAGGGCTTCCTGTAATGTTTCGGTCCCCGCGAGCAGCGCCATCTGCTGCAAGGGGGGCAAATAATACTTCGGCTGCCTCTATAGAGGCAGAGAAAGCTAAAATGGTGGCTTCTGCTGCATGTACTGCCAGCAGTACCGTTTCTGAAATTTCGGTAGGATCGCTCCCTGCAAAATCTGACATATAGGGAGCTGGTACTGTCGCTACTTTCCCGTCTGTCTTCCTCCTTGTCATAATGGACTCCATAGCCTCTCCGCGGGCCGAAAAAAATACTCCTAAAAGCCATTTTGCTGCCGAAGCAATTAGCTCGGTCTCACTAGTTTCTTCCAGAGAAGCTCGCCTGTCGAAGAGGTATAGAAGCGTAGCTGCAGCGGCCGCATCCGCTGCGACTGAAAGCCGTAACTCTGGAGAAGCAAGCTGGCGAAGAGCAAGGGCGCGCAATGATGACGTGAAGGACGATGAGCTGCGCATCGTCTGTTGAGCTAGAGCCCAGCAACCTGAAAGTTGCTGTTCTAGATACTGTTTGTCCCGTTGCTGCCAGTGCTGCTGCTGCCATAGTTCGCAGACTACAGCCTTCGCCGTTTCCGCCCTCTTACTCCCTTCAATCAGGACAAGGCGCGCTGCCTCAAGAAATTTTCGGGATCTAACGGCATCCCAAACTCGAGACGGCAACAATAAAAGCTGCTGTTGCAAATATCGAAGTGACCCTAGATGCTGCTGCGTGTTCTGTCGTTTTTCTCCAAAGTGGGGGAACCGCCGGAAGTTGCCAGTACCTTCCTTCCAGTCTCTCTGTCGAACGTGGCAAGGAGAACTCACATATGGAGAAGAGTCAACTTCATGGAGACAGAGAAGGTCATCCAGTGGAGTGCTCTTTTGCAGAGGCAACCCACTTTCAAACCCTTCTTGCTGCTGTTGTTGGTCTCTCCTTCCGAAGTAATCGCTGGCTAAGGAAGACGCGAGCCGATGGAGCCCAAGACCAAATTCTCTCGTCTCCTTCAAAGCCTCCTCAACCACCTTCTGCATCGAAGAAATTGCAGGTAGGCCCTCGAGAAACGAGAGGTAGCGAACGCCCACGAGGGAGCGCAGTTCCTCAGCATCATTTGCTTGTTGCAGCTGGAGCTGCCGCAGAACTTCCTGCACCTCTGGTACTGACTGTTGACGGAAAACATCATCAACTGCCAAAGGGCTTATCAGTACTGAGCTGGCGCTCAGGCTGGATTCCATTTGGGACAGCTGTTATAGTATACTGTGACCGGGCTATCACTAGACCTGAAGTCTCATTGGAGACAAAACCAAAGACACAGTCTAGCTACAGTGCAACCCTGCATAGCATCTGTACGTAGGAAAACGCAGAGGACCAACTTCTTGCTAGCGCATGTCCGGAGAACTTGATAGTGTGGAACTGGCTCAGTGCCCCTTGTTGAGTGGATTTGCTATAACACAAGTCTTGAAATGTTCAATTACACAGTCGGGTACTGCTATATCAATGCGTCAACTTTCTGGGGATAAACGAGGGGGGAAGATTGAGATCGCATGTCAGAGCACTAAAACGTCTGCGACGCGACATGCAAAGCAACAGCAATAAACAGAACACACATGCATCAGAAGTACCTCGTCTTACTGTACAATAACATTAATTTCGGGAACAGGAAAGGACGTGGGCACGAAGAGGAGTTCCTCGTGCAACCACCCTGGGCCATCGGACTCAACGGGGCTGAGGCAGTATCCCGTCAATGATTAAACATAAGTAGTGTAAAGCTTTGTGAGTGAAGGTCGAAGCTTTCTGTTTTCATATTAGGTGGGTTAACCGTTGCAGTCGTTTGACGCAGATTCACCTCTGTGGGGTGTTTGGCTGTCGTACACTTGTTGACCAAACCAACAGCACTCTAATAACTCCGCCTTGGCAAATGAAGAAGGAACCTTTCCCTAAGCAGCCTCAGGTGAGCTTATAAAGCGTCTTGGAAGATCAAAGTGCGAATAAAGTGAAGTAATGGCTCCAAGCAAGTCAACTGCACCGGGCAACAAGAGGAATGGCTCTCAACAGAATCGTCATGCAGCTTCAGTGGAGGCCATTTTTCGTAGCCGTTGCATCGTTTCTTTTGCATTTGACCAAAGCAATGGGGGACGACTGGGAAGAGAAAGTGGGAGGCGGCGTTTATCCTGCAGTTGAGTATGTTGCCAACGAGCCCAAGAAGACCTACAATATCCCAGTGGAGCTAAATGATGAACCGTTAGTTTTAATTCAATGGTCAACTGACGTGAGCCGCCGCCGCCGTGAGTTTCAATACTCCTTCCCCCCAGGTATCCTTGTAATTGCACTATTAATGGCTGCTGGAGCACTTTTCTTATGGAGTACAAAACGCGGAGCTTTAACATATCGGGAAGAAGCACCCAGTGATGCAAATGCAACTGATAAAGCTGTAAGTCCCGAGTATATTGAGGACTGTCTTTCGGGTTACCACGGCGTGGGACTAGACAGTTGCTCCGTTCTTCAGTCCGTTTTGAGGAAGCTCTCGGCAGACCTTCAAAGCGCCATGCGTGAAACCCATGAGAAGGAAAGTCTCGCAAGGGCCTTGTTGGACAAGGAAAGCACAGAGGTAACGATCAATATGGCTAACACTATTTCTTCTCTTTCGGAAGCCAGTGCCAAGTTAGCAGCCCCGGCAAAGGCTATAACCAACACACTAGAGATATTACAGCGTCCGCTTTCGGACAGTCAAGCGACTTTTCATCTAAATGGGGCATTGGAAGAACTCCAAGCTGCCATACAGAATCCCCTTTACGATTTGAAGCTAAAGGATGAGCTTAATCTTGCCCTAGAGTATCTTAAACGTGTTGGCGAGGAGCCGGCATCTGAAACAAGCCTTCCCCAGATGAAAAATCTGCGAGGTGAGCAGCAGGACTTTGCCAAACAAAGTAACAGAACGACACTTGAGATGGTTGTTCAGTGTACAGCTTGGCTCGAAGCCTTGTTCCGCCAACAGCACACGCTTCTAGAGGCAGTGACTATCGTTTCCAAAGCAGTCGAAAATGTACGGACAGAGTACGATTTTTTACTCTAATGCCATATTTCAGTGGTCCATTCACTGTTGTGTTTCAACCTAATGGCACCGTCGTACAAGCGCCTCGTAGACGGTTATGGTTGGGCAGCTTCGATTTGTTGGATGCCATTTGGCTGCGAAGGCAGCCTGGATTTTTACCGCTGCTTTTTTTTTTCAATTCACGGCGACGATAGGGCATGACTTCTTGACAATTTGCTGGTAAGAACGCTGTTTGATGTACACCAGGGACCTACGATCGTCGGCCACTGCGCTGTATAAGCTCTACTGAACAAAAGGCAAGTCGCCCATATTAACGCTGAGTTGTGGGCATACGAGAAATGCAACGTACAAACAGGTCGTTAAGGAAGGGCATATATTCCCGAAAACTGCAGAACTTTAGTACCAGCTGGACTAGGGACGTAGAGCTCATGATCCCCAAGGGGCCGACTCCACAATTCGGTTAGTGTCGTTAGCCGGTGCGCCGTTTCAGCTGAGCTCTACAGTCTCCAGTTGGAAATTTCTCGGGAGCATTTAAGCTGATTTCATCCGAAGGCCCTGCAGCTTCCTCAAGAATGCCATGAAGAGACCGGCGAAACACATCTGAGAAAAGTCAGACAGAAAAGCTTCCTGCGATTCATACATGTCCAAAGAACAGTGCAAAGAAAACGCGCAGTGCTTTTGTGCAGCACTTAGCACCAGCATCAGGCGGGGAACGTGGAACAATTTGCCGTTCGCAAACCTGGCGAAAAACAACAAGCCGCGTGCGCCTCAGCTTTTGAGCGTAGAGCCTGCAGGCATTGACAAAACTGGAGTAGACTGCCACTTGAAGGCGATGGCGCAGTTGTTCCCATGAACTGACAGGTGATTGCTAGGGTGCTCAAGCTTTCGTAGCTATATATGCTCACAGCAAGCTCTTCAGGGCTGTCGCGCGATAACAGCAAGATACGCTGGAGAGCTGCAGAGAACGATGCCGGCGTTGGTTCACAGAGGAAGCCCTAGCAGAAATATGCACACACTACGCGCTTAGTTTTGAGTCTGAGTATCCATGCTCAGATTTTGTCGTATGGTTTTGCATGTCCTGTAGTTGTACTGGAAACCCTAAGATAGTAGAAGTAAGCTCCATAAAAACGCCAACGGCTCAGCAGGAGCATGCATGTGTGAAAGCATTCATATACCCTCTGTTTCCAAAGCTTTACACATATATGTACGAATATAGGTAATTTTGTATAGGCTGAATCACACTTACAGTTTCCCCATCAACAATGGTTTCTCTAGGTCCGCCCGTATTGCATGCCACGGGGACACTTCCAATAAACATCGCTTCACAGGGAACCTGAGCCAAATAAGCCTGCTGAGTAGTACAGCAGTAGTATGAAACCGTACCAGTCTACGGACTTTCCGAGTCAAACACTGGGAATGGGCTGCAGGGGAATGATCCATCTGCCACGCAGGCAACGTAAAACAATGTAAGTTGCACTCCTCACAATGCCAAAGTGCTCGTCCGTCGGTGTGTAAAGTATGCAGGCACTCCTTTTGAGCAAAAACAACTTTAGAGATAGCGAAACATTTTTAAGAAATAGAATATGCCTTCTCGACTTTTCTTCGGGGCCAGTCCCATCAACGTCAGCACCCTGAATCTTCTCAGAGTCAATAATTCTGAAACTGAGCTGCTTCGCAAGATGCACGAGCCGCTGAAAATAGGCACTGCACTCGGGCAAACGTGGATCAAAGCCTCCTGCAGCGCACAGAATGTTTTCCATACGGTTGATGGCGCCATATGTATTTACCTCGTTTTTTTCTGTTCAGTTGTTTCATTCGGCTTGCACTTTATCCTAGTAATCCGTTATCGTTCTGTACTCTGTGTTCATAGAAAGACCAACACTCAGCTTATTGGGACCCAGTTTCTTAGTGATGCCCTTTGTTCAGCTTGTGTCCAGAAGGGGACGTGCCGAAGATCTAGGAATCCACTCTACAGGCTTCTTATGGGTTGCACGTTACCTGCTACAATCAAGTTACATTTTATCTCTTGTGGAAGAGATGCCACAGCTGTTAATGCCAGCTCGATGTTCTTCTTTTCTTCGAATCGGTTAAGTGAAATGGCATAGGGCACTGACAAGTCAAATCTGAAACAGTGGAAAAAGAAGCAACACAATGAATTGGCTTATACATAAAATGTCATTTTGTCTGCTTCAGAAAGCTGCAAAAAATATCAACACCCCAAGGACGGTGCAAACCAGCAAAAAAATTGTTTCATATGCGTTTACTGTTGTGCCCCACATGCCCACATGCACTTACTGTTGCAGCTCGGCAAAAGATGATTCGCAGCCTTGACAAGTGCTGCGCTTATGAAATGCTTCCACTTCTGTACCGACTGGTGGATACAACACACGTAGCTTTTTGTCCCTGTGGAATAGCAGCGGACCATATGAGGCCAATGCAATCGAACTATACTGTTAGCGCTCCTCCTTAGGCTGCTTTTTGTAGCAGATGTTGTTCCATATTCACGATGTACTCGTGACTTGAAGGCAGCGCTCAACCATCCGGATTTTCACGCACTTCAAGGACGGAAAGGTTCGACAGAAAGCATCTGCGGTGAACTCGGAGTTGACCAGAACCGCGTCACACGATGCTGCAGTTACGCAAGGCACTACCGGGAGGGAGGGATAAGCAGACAACTACTGTAGTTCGGCCTATTAACTTTTTTAGGTGGGGAAAATTTACATCTTAAAGTGACCAGACAAAGTAGTTACTCGTCAATGCATAGTACTAGCGGCTTATAGAGGAGGAGCGGAACACCGGAAGGCCGGAAGGCCTAGCAGTATGCATGTTTATCGGAATTTTGCATGATTATGAGATTCAGGGATCGTGCGAGGAAAACTTTCGGCTTAGCTTAGAACATGTTGCAGTATGGCGAAGGTACGCATTGTATGGACGGCAATACCGGTGGTCAATGCCTCAAGCTTATCGAAAGGGTACCGGTAAAGGCGGCGTAGGAGCGATGGCTGACAGCTGGCCAGCAAAAGGTCAGGGAAGTGACCATAGAAAATAACCTGTTGATTACAGCTAGTTACAGCAAAAATATGGACCCCTAGTCATCTAAGGGTGAAAATGCGAAGGCCGTTCCAACTGGCTGTGGTGCCAACTTGTTAGGATCCTCAGCGCAACTGAAACGCGGACACGGAATTCTCTTACCTTCTTTCCAACTAGACGGAGTAAAGGATTCACTACTGCCACTTGGTCATTAAACACGAGATCGTAGCCTACATGTCCTGCAGAGAAAACGAAATGCAGCTACACCGTGGCTCCTCAACTAACGGACAAAACACCGGAGCCCATTTTTTCGTTTGTTTCTGCTCAACGTACCCGTCATTATGGCAGTTAATACAAGATATAGCATCCGCAGAACCGAGCAGAAGACACGAAAATGCCTTAGAATGCTGTGAGGCAAGAAGGACCCGAAGACGACAATGTTTAGCCTCGCTGAATAACCAAAAAAACACCTCTGAACAAGGCAGCTACTCTTCCACGCGGACCTTTGAACTGCGGATAGTTTTTTAGAAGCTTTCTTGTTTCCAGTCGCTCTACGGTGCGTGACTAGCCTGTCGCGGTGAAATGCATTGCACGCAGCTGGCTGATAAGGAACCTGCGCTGCCACCTGATTGACTAAATCCACAAAAATTGCATTCATATTCGTGTATGGTGTACGGTCTTTTGAAGCTTCTAAACATCTCCGTGTATCGAAGTAAGTGGTGAAGAGATCGACGGGACAGGGTCGGCGCCGTGCGCCCTCAAGGATGTTGTATGTTTGCAAGGCCGTCTGCAAAACAAGTTGCTCCGCCCCACCAACACCCAAATCCAGGTGAAAAAACGCTACTCTACTTGGTTTTCCGGGCATTTGTACATAACGAGCGAATTGCCTTCGAGAATACTCCGAAAAGTTCGGATGTGCTCGCTTGTTGTTGCTAGACAGGAACTGCTCTAAGTCTAGCGAAACGCCTGGACAACAAGAGAAACAAAGTAAAGTCTGAAATGAATGGAAAACAATAAACGCCTTTATCAAAGACAACTCAGCAAAGGGATCAGTTGCATGCGATCAGCCTTCATTGCCCCAAACACCACTGCTGTGATTGTGCGGACCACATATTGCATTCACTCGTTCCATGCGGCTCGTAAGTCATGTCTTTGAGAGATGCATGCGTTAAGTGCATTTCGCGCTTTACAGAAGACATATTGATATGACTGGTTTGATATTCTCAGCGGCCCTACCCACCTTGCAAATGGACGGTCTCTGTCCTATGGGAGTCAGGTCACTGCACTTGAGCATGAGGTCACGCAGTTGGGGCTTCAGCACAATTTTTGTTTCAGCAGACTGCCCGATAGCCAACGTATGACTACCGGAACAGGCTATTCTACGATGAAACCGTCCTCTGGCCACTTGGGTAATGTCGTGCACAGGAATGGAGAAGCCAAGTTTCGGGGCCCCTTTATTCGCTTGCTTGAGGTGTATCTCATGGATTCAAAGCATCTTATTTGTTTTCACCATTGGAATGGCAGCTGAGCCCCTCGCCGCAGCAACCTACAGCCAACAAGCCTCAGTGGTTGTGCCTGCAGCATCGGCTCCTCATCGTAGTCTGTCTATGGATTCCCACCATCACCCGTTCGACTCATCTGCACTTGCAGCTAGCTTTCGGCAAAGGGCAAACGCGAAGCTTTTGATACCACTGAAGCATAAGGATTACCTGCGATATATTTTTATGACCAGCCTATGGCAACGTCTCGCTAGTGAGCCTCGTCCACGTAGACCATTTGCTCATCGCCGTGGAGCAAAACATGCTACATGCTCTCGCGTTAACGCTTCTGCACAAGCACTACATCGAAGTCGGATGCTTGCAACTGCTGACTATCTTGCCGGCGGTTTGCCTCGCGCGTGCCTCGCCAGCAAATTACCTATGCCAAGCGGCGCACAGAGAGAGTCGGAATGGGATAAGGCTGTGCGCAACGGACATAACCAGTCACCACTCAATGAAGGGAATTCAGCAAAAGTGATGTCAGAGACAGCAGCGGAGAGAGAAAGCGATTTGAAGTCGTCGTGCATGGAGGAGGGAGGAGACAACCCCTTGCCCTGCCCATTTAATGACAGAAGCGCTGCTGCTTCTACTGCGGCACGATCGTTAGAGAAGGCTCGCTTGATACAGGCTACGTCCTCAGGTCTTTTTTGCGTGCTACCGCTGGGTTTCCGTGTGCTCAAAAAAATCGAGACCGTCTGCCATGAGGAACTTGCGGGAACCGGTGCCTCCCCGCTATCCTTGCCTAGCCTCATGCCAATGGAGTGGCTGCACGATTCAGATGTACGAACTGTGTGTACTGTCACGTCTAATGCCGCGGCATACCCACATTCGGGCAGGACTACAGAGAACGGTGCACTTCACCTGAGAAACAGTTGGACTGAATTACAGCATGCACCTTTTCGTAGCATCGTGCACGCGAATGGGGTGCCCCTAAATGCTACAAGAATATTTGTTGTGACTTTTCTCCGCAGCGAGTGCACGCGTTCGGCGCATCTCTCTACAAGGTCGAAGACCGTCGTGCTCGGCATTTCTTCCTGTCCCCTACCTCTGAGGAAGCAGCCGCGTGGTTGGCCGCACACTTCGTCAGAAGTCACAAAGAATTGCCTTTAATGTTCTATCAGATTGGGCCAAAGTTTCGAGACGAAGCTCGCCCGCGTGCAGGGTGCCTCCGCACTCGTGAATTTGTCATGCTGGAAGCCTATTCTTTCCATCAAGATGCGGCATGCAGAGATGCCACTTACCGCAAGATGGATGAATGTTTCCGGCGGATACTTTCACGTCTGGGAGCAGGCCCAGTCCACAGAATCCAAGCGGACCCGGGAACGATGGGGGGCCCTTGCAGTCACGAATACCATGTAAGCAGCAACTACGTCTCGCGAAACGCATTTCCATTCTTTCATGCTTTCATGTAGTCTTCATCTATTCATTGCGGCTCCTTCACAAGGAACACAAAGGGTTCAGTAAAGATTCGGCCATGTTCGAATGCATTTTCGTCAGGTGTGCAGCATTCTTGGAAGTGGCCAAACAACACCACGACTGGACAGGACAAACGAAAGCCATAATGGTGCTCATGGAGCGACCGCTCCGTACGTCTGTGGTGGCACATGCTTGGAGGTTGGGCACTGCTTCCAGCTTCCCAAAGCGTACTGCAAAGCAGCGAGAGCTCGCTTCATGGATTCTCAGGGTGTAGAAAAGGTTCCGTTCATGAGCAGCTACGGTTTGGGCGTGTCCCGGCTCATTGCACACTTGGCACTGTCACATCAAGATATGAAGGGCCTGCTGTTTCCTCCACAAGTAGCGCCTTTCTGTGTTGCAATTATCCCGCAGCCAGCTGCGAGGTGGAATGATGGCAGAAATGCTGCACGCCTGGGTAGGGCCCTGTTTAGACGGCTGCACAGAACTGCAACAGAAGCAGGCGGATCTGCCGACGTGTTCCTTGACGACCGTCGAGGTCCCACCCTCCGCCAAATGCAGATGCATGCAGATCTCATTGGGATTCCACACCAGGTAATTATAAAGCACGACTTACTACGGACCTCTGGGAAGCCTTGTGTACTTTACATCTCACGCACATGCGGCTCGGCGGACATCTTGCCGCTGAGGGCTGCCCTGAACAAGCTGCAGAGCGCCCTGTTGGATGTGGCAGCGCCTAAGTAACTTTGACAGGGAAGCGCCGTTTGCATCACGACACGGCTTCTGTTATGCTGGGGTTCGCCGCTCACTACTCACATTGGGGTGGTGGCCAAATCTGGTGAGCGTTTTTTACACCAACTTCCTGCCGTGTTGTCCGAAAGGATTAATTTTTGACTTTGCTCTGCAGCAGCTTCAGAGCTCTCACCCATCATGTTTGTGCGGCAGACCCCTTCCGCCTTCGTCCACTTAGAGCAGCAACCATATTTGTTAGCCCCTTATTGCGCGGGTCACCGGTAAAAGCCGGGGCTCTTCCTGCTGCTGTGGTCAGTGCTTCGGCCGATGTTCTGCTAGCCTCTATGGCCGTGGGTGGCTTGTCGATCGATGGATTGGTTAGAACCTGTTTTGTGGCAAGAGCAGGCGGCTGCAAGGAATTAACCTTTGGAGATAATGCCGCGTTAGAATGGTCCTCCGGTTCAACTACTCTCACAAGTCTTGAGCCCTCCCCGCCCCTTGCAGAAATGGGTTTCTCTGGCTTCGCAGAAGCAAGACTGGCTCTTGAGGGCGCGCTTGAAGGCGCACGGGGTAAACGCTTCACCGAAAGACGGTCCACACCAGCAGGCGCTGCAGTAGGATTACGCTTTCCTACCTGCTTCGACTTTGCGGGTGAAATGGCAGGAGGTTGCGACACCACAACAGATGGACCTGTAGAAAAAACAGTCAATCCGCGAAGTATTTTCTATCCCCAAGTGGGAAAGACTGCACACGACACAATCTAGTAAAATCCCCTCCAGAGGACAACGGTGTAGCATCCCCTTTAATTACAGTGGCATGCACAGTGCCACAATAAACGCAAGCTGACATGAGACTGACCTTTCGTAGCAGCCTTTGTTTTAGTCTTGGCCTTTGGTGAAGCGGTATTCTTCTTGCCTGGACGCTTGGTCAGCGCCTGTTGCTCGGCGTCAGCAGTCTGGTCCTTGGATTCAACAGGCGGCTCGGCTCCACGATCCTCTGTCTCTGACTTGGAAACTGCTGCTGCCAGCTGCTCTTTCAGATTTGAAACTTGCTCTTCAAGCTCCCGAATTCTGTCACTTTTCTCAGCCTCCGCTTGGTTGGCTGCAGCCAGTTGCTCCTGCAGAAAACATACAGCTTCCTCTTCACTATCAGGAAAACTTCCAGGAAAAAGAACCACTTACGCAGGCATTGGCGCAGCCTCTTAACCTAGTGCAGCTGACCTCTACCATCTTCGCCTCTCGCCTGTCCACGCTCGTGTGGAACTTTATTTGATCTTGCAGGTCCGCTATTGTCGTGTTCGCAGCTAGGAGCTCCATGTAGAGTGCTTGGTTGAGCCGGCGCACATCAAGCTCAACAGCGCGGCCTTCCTCAAGGCACATGCGCAAATGCGATACGTAGCCCTGCAGCATGTGCACGTCTCTCGCCAAGCCCCGCTTCTCCTGAAGACAGCATTGAAAACTGTCAAATTGTCTTTTGAAGGCATGCACGTAAACGATAATTGGGACTACGTCACTAGGACTGAATGTGAAAAACGGCCGCATCCACACCACATCATCGTATCCCTTAAAATCCTCCCAGTTCGCCAGTGTCCTTGGAATCATAAGCAGGCTCAGGTTCTCCTCCTTCAGTCTGCGTGTCGTCTCCAGCAGAGTTGCATTCTCCTGTTTGAGAGTCACGTAGTCCTCTGTTCAAATTGAAGTGGACAAAACATAATACAGAGTTTTGACGCCCAACAGCAGGGCACAGGGCCAGCTGAACTGAAGTTGATCTTCCACGTAGAGTTGCTAGTTCGTCAATGAGTTGTACCTGAGAGCAGCTTATAATCAATCTCCCGTTCCGCAAGGCGAATAGAGAGCTCTTCTAGTTTGGCCATCAACTTTGCAAACTTTGCATTTGTATCTTCGTCAACACGATGCCTGGACTTCGAATCAGTGAGTTCCGCTTTGAAGCTCCATAGGGCAGCCAGCATTCTGTCGCAATGCTCGGTAAGTTCGATCTTTTCCAACTGCATACGCACACTCGTCATACACTGCCTCCCTACTGACCTCCATACCAGTACGTACATGAAAATAATGCGACGAAAAGCAAGCAGTGGAGGAAAATCTCTCGCTCTGTCGTGGCGCTCTATCACGGCGTTTGCAATTACCAATCCTTTCTTAACAGAGACTTGGAGTTCCTTCAGACGCTCCACAAAGTGGTCCCTCAGCTGGCCGAGAGCCTTCCTCATTTCTTGCTGTTCATATAGCAGCGCCAGCATGTGCTGTTCCCAGGGGGGAAGAATCTGCAAAATGGACTCAACGGTCTGCTCCTTCTTGCTTTCTATCATCTGTCAAACACCCACAAACAATGTCAAGAGTGGCGTGCAGGAAGAATTGCCCTTTCCCCGGCCACACCGTGTCTGCAACGATGACTGTAGATTTGTGCGGGTCGAGCAAATGCTGGAAGATCTCCAGAACAGCAAAAGCTCCTTTTGGAAGCTAATGATGTACCTTGGCTGTTTCAGTGTCCGCTGTCCCCTTGTTACTGTCAGCATTGGCGGCTTTGGAAAATATCAATTCCAACGCATTGACGGCCTCGCTTTCATTCTGTGGTGTTCTGGGAGTAGCTCCCTGAAGGCAAGATACAGTTAAACGGCATGCATATGTAGCGTAAACAACTGGCAGCCCTGCACGATGCTTAGCTTGCGGAACCGTAGCTGTCCTGACGATCAATGGTGATGCCTAGTACGAAGCGCGGTGAGGGATCGCACTTCATCATTTGGAGCAGGAGATGTCCCCGAAGATACAACGGAAGCAGCCAGAGTCATAAGGGGCGGCTGCAGGGCGCCATTGATCTTGCCCTCCGTTGCGCTGGCATCCCCGTCTCCCTGCGTGTTTTCTAAGATCTCCGCCATCATGACACGTCTGTTATACGTAAGAAGTGAAACAGACACGCAGCGTCCCCCGGCGCTGATAATTAAGGACGGCCTTTCATTTATTATTCACAATCTCGTGAATGGGCAAGCTTACGATAAAGCATTGCTTATTGCAGCGCATGCCAAGGGACGGATCTGGTCGATATCTGGAAATCCACGAGCTTTAGCTGATTGGCCCACGGGGTCTCCAACGCTTAGAGAGAGTTTCAGTGGCTCCGCATCTCTTTTCTCCTTCACACGGTCAAGAAATGCCTTCAGCGACTCGTTTTCTTGGTCCCGAGGGGCCAACAAACTATCTTGTCCTTTTGCTGGGGCAGAAGCAGTGCTGAGCACTGAAAGTCCCAGACGATGCATTAGAGCGCAAATGTGACGAATCTGGCTAGTCAGCTCTGCTGTGCGTTTCTTGCATTTAACCAGCGCTTCCTTCTCATCTTGCATCCGACTGTCAAAAACGTAAAAACCGACGGGAGCAAAACCTTACTTTGGCATTTACAGATGGAACTGAAACGTTCGATACGCCAATAAGGGCTCGACAAAGTCAGTTCAAGAATTTAGTGGCCTCTCAAGATGTGATTTAATTTGAATGCGAAAGTATTGCTTACAAAAGAACCTTCGAGATGACTTCTAGGCCCATTTCTTTGGCCTTCCGAAGCCTAGAAGCCCAGTTCTCCCGTTCTGCCCTTTGTTTTAAGACTAACGCCCTGATTTTCCGCGCCTCATTGTTTTCGCGATCTGGTTCCAAATGCTCTTCAGGTGTTGGTGTGGCAGCAGGTAGCTCCGACGCCAGAATTTCACTGGATTGTTTGGACGGTGCCGATGCCCTTCCTTTTTTGGAAGCCTTCGTCGTCTTAGCTTTGTGTTTCTTCTCTACTCTCACCTTCACGCTTTTAGGCTTACCTGTCGAAACTACAGACTTAGCTTGCTTTGGCTTCTGCTCGCCAGCAGCTTGATCTGGTAGCGGCTCAAACAGACCACCTCCTTCCGCCTGGGCTTCTTGAGGTGCTTCATGATCAGAGCTCTCACTTGCCGACGAATCTTCGCAGCTCAAGGACTCTTCCTCGGCAGAAAGTGGATTATCGTCAATACACTCGAGTTCGTGTATAGCCCCTTCAATTGAATGCTCCAAGGTCTCAAACCTCAAGACCCCGCCTGGTGCGTCTCCGCTGGAGAAGGATTGGAGGCTGCCGTACGTCTTGAACGCACAAATAACAACAAAGTACGGATCGCACAAATAAAGACAAAATATGAACCACACAGTGAACAGCTTGGTTCTCTCTGCACCATGACTTTGTTGCAATGCAGCACAGCACGCACACAACCACTCTCTCACATCGTTCTTGAGATCCTGCCCGAAACGATCCAACAGGCTAAGGGCATGTGTCATGGATGTTCGCACAGCGGGGTCCTCAGAGTCCGCTTGGTTAAGTCCATCGATATCTCGAAGTCCATAGCGAGCAGCAGCAAGGGTTTCCATCCGTCGAAAAGTGGACGGCCTGAGCACCAATCGAAACAGCTATAGAACGAAAGAATCCCTTTCATGGTCGTTGCTTCTACAACTACTCGTCAAAAGACGTTCTTTCAAGCAGTGGCAGAGAAGTCTTCCTGCAAATCACGCAGAGCGCCGTGAACGCTTCTGTGGCCAGTCACACTAGACGCCCAGCTTCCTGAATAACTCAGCGCCCGTTCAGCCCATATATATTTGGTGAACAGCACTACGTGCGAGACGTTGCTCAAACGCTGAGGAACCTCTCAATCCGAAGCACACTCACTGCCGCATAGTTCTTGCCCGCTGCAAATCACCGCCGGCGGGCGCTTGTGTTGGACTCGCCGTCGCTTTTATGATAAATTGCTGGAATTTTGCGACTTTGTTTTCCAGGTCACTCTGCAAGTAGCGTATAGGTGTGGTCAGCATGAGTTCACCTTCCAACACATTCTACGAAGTTGAATCTTACTTTACTTTATGCAGCAGCCTTCACGTATATGCATGGCACTTCACTGGTAGCACGTTTGGTTACAAAAATACGTACTTTCAGAATTCGGATCTGCTCATCGTTTTCTGCATTTCTTTGCGAGCTAATTCCAGGGGTTACTCCTCCCT